ATGCATGTGCAGGGGTCCAGGTGTCGTCAGACCGATTCATCCCTTATTAAGCTTCCTGCCATTCTTTCACCTGGAACAGTGATGTGGCGTTGGCAGCATATTTTGATCCCATGGGATGTTTGAAAAGCCCACTAAGGCTTGAACTCTACTTCAAACCAATTACATTGGACTTTCTAGGGGTGAGGCCAGGCATATATTATATTTTAAAAGCTCCCTAAGTGATTCTAATATGCAGCTAAAACTGAAAAACCACTGTCATGAAAGTTCTAGCAGCCACTGCAGATCATGATTTCATTAGAAGTTACGAAGGGGTGATATTTTAATTCTGTCGTTCCTTTGGCATTGAAGAGCTGGAATTCTATAAAGAAGAACCATCTTAATCAACTAGCTAATTACCTTAAAATAAAATTTGTACAGGATAAGAAGGATAAATGTTTTCTTCAAAGTTTTCAAAATAAATAATACATTTCATCCTCCAAAGGTGACCAATAAGATAATATATTCATAAGATCATATATATAAGATCAAAACTATATATATATATATATATATATATAGTTTTGAATTTATTGATTTTATATTACCCTAAACTTCTTGAAAATGAAACAGAGGTCCCTTTTAATGCCCTGTTATTTCTTTACACAGAGCTCTGAGATGCCTTCCTGCTAATGTGGCAGTGAGACTTGGTAGAGTCTCAGCTCTACCACTAGCTAGCATGGTGACTTTGGGCAAGTCACTTAGCCTCCCTCAGCCTGTGTCCTTATTGTTAAAATGGACACAATAATTCTACAAAAGTAGGGGACTAACTCTCCCTGGTTTGCCCAGCATTTTCCAGGGTTAGCACTGAAAGCCTCGTGTCCTGGGCAACCCCGAGTCCCAGGCAAACTGGAAGCGGTGGGCACACTTAGATTGTTATAGGGATAAAGTAAAATAATGTATTTAAAACATTTTGTACAGAGTAGGTTGTTGACAAACAGAAGCTACCTTTCTGTAATCATACTTTATCATCTGGATTTCCACACACCCCCATTCAAATTTTGGGGAGCATATCTTAAAACCCAGGTGGATGAGATGTACCTGGTGTCCTTTTGGGGCGACGGTGTGAGCTGTGCTCTTTTCTATCCTATTAGATCCTGAAATATTTTGCCTGGGAACCTTCATTCAAAGACCAAGTCCACAACATTCGGAAGAAAGAGCTCAAAAACCTGCTCACCTTCGGGCAGATGCAGTCTGTGATCATGTTTCTCTTATATTTAACTCCAGTCCTGGTGAGTGACACGAGGCAGTGGGTTGGGTCAGCTTTCTGAAGAGAAAGGTCTGTCCTAGACAGACTGCCCCAACCCTCTAGGCCTGACCCCGAAATCCAGGGAACTCTGCCCCTCCCTTGAACTCCTACCTCATGCCCCCAACACTAGTTTCACCCTCGTGTACAATATGGTGGTCAAGGAGCCCAGGGCAAGTTGCTAGGATGTTCAGCATGAATGTGGTATCCAGGAACGGTTTGTAAAGGAGGGCTTGAGGAACACTGATATAGGAGCCCGGAGACCCGAGTTCTGCTCCCAGCTACGCCATTAATTAATTGACTCTGTGACTCAGATGAGATCTTCCTCCTCCTCTGGGCTCATCCTTCTTATCTGTAACATGGGGAGGTTGAGATAATCCCTAAGACTCCTTTAACCCTGATGTACGGTGTTCCTAAGACTTAGCACAAGGCTGCGCGAGCCCTTTCAGGAATCAAGTGCCTATGACCTTGCTTCTCCAGGTATCTGTGGTCACATTTTCAGTGTACGTCCTGGTGGATAGCCGTAATGTTTTGGATGCAGAAAAGGCCTTCACCTCCATCACCCTCTTCAATATCCTTCGCTTTCCCCTGAGCATGCTCCCCATGGTCATATCCTCCATGCTCCAGGTAAGGAGGCTCTTCTGCTGTGAACCGATTGTCTCTGATTAAAAGCCTTAGATTTCAGAACGACTGGCCAATCACCTCTCGTTTTTAGCATCTGTTGAGGAACTTTCAATGAGAGAGGTTTGTTTGCTCTCTGGAGAACAATGGTTTGTTCTCAGTAAAATCACAAGCTCTCTGAGCCCCGTTATCTAACTATAAAATGAGGATAAGCATACCAATCTCATTCCTCACAGGAAGACAATGTTTATGAAAGCAGCTATGACTAACCCTGGTACCTGCAACTTTTCTAAGCCCCTTTTCCCAGCCTGGTTTCCCCCGACATTTTCCCAAGACTTCCTTATGCATATAGCATTAGTGAACTATGGCGTCAAGAGAGAGAAAAGACCCTTTCTTTGCTGAAGCCATGTGGTGGTAAAAAACAAAGGCAATTCAGGAGCCTCAAGCTGTCAGAAAATGAGTTTGGAGTTCAGGAGGCCTTGGGCTGGCCGCAGGGAGTATCTGGCTCCTGGGAGCTAAGCACAGTCACTGAGATGGACCAGGTATCAGATCTCAGAGGGGAAGATCACAGGGCAGGTGGCAGACTGGTGAGGCAGCCAGGATGACGGAGTGCAGTCATCTGCATTTATCTCAGAGGTGGCTGACTGCAGACAGCTCAGGCCATAGGAAGGGCTGGGGTTTAGGACAAGGCCTCCCTGTCCTGGAGGGTGTTGAGAAAAGCTGACTAGTATGGCCAATAAAGAAACAGCATGCTTTTTTTAGATTCAGTTTATTGCATAGCACAAGCAAGATACCTCAGCAAAAGTGTCAGCTCCCTGCATGTCCTGTCCTACAAGAGGACGCTGAAAGAAAAAGGCCAGATGACAATGCAACAGGGCAGTGGGGACTCTTTCTCAGGAGATGGTCCATGCAGCAGCTGAGCACTTTTATAGTCTGCGGTTGCACTCTAAGCAGAAGGCAAGGCAGAAAGCCTATACGTCATCAGAACCCAGGTGGTGATGGGACCAACGGTCTCATGACAGCCTCCCTGGAAGACAGGGAGCAGGTGAGAACATCCTTGGAGATCTTCCCAAGTCCTCATATTCCAGGAGCACCATGGGGTGTTCTGCCAGCGCTTAATCAGCTGCAGTTTAAGCTTAGCCTATGTGGAAATGTGTCACGGCCACTTCCTCTACGGAGTCCCAGTGGTGGCTCAGGTAGGAAACTGAACGTGTCTTCAAGGCCTGGACTTGAGTAAAGAGGAGCACGCCAGGGGCCTCACTGCCAGAACCAGATTGAAGTCAGGGTCTTACCTTAGGGAAAGGCAGCAGGCAGTTTCTGGAATTAGGTCTAAAGAGCAGTAGAGTTGCCCTCTCCTCACCCCCACCCCCAAGTTTTCTGAAGGGCTGAAACAGTGCATCTTAATTTGCCTCTGTCCAGGGGAGTGGGCTGTCTCAGGGTGGCAGTGTGGCTGTCTGGGGCGGGGCGGGGGGGAGAGGGGGTGCGGTCCCACCTGTGGCAAGTGGCAAATTATGGGCAAGAAGCCTGGTGGGTTGACTACTTCTGCATCCCAGGCAGATGCAGAGTCCAAGTCCTCTCCCTGCTGGTGCTTGCCCTTGGCTTTTTTATTCTTGAGATCCTTTGTGTCCGTTTCTAGGCCAGTGTGTCCACAGACCGTCTGGAGAAGTACTTGGGAGGGGATGAGTTGGACACATCTGCCATTCGACATGACAGCAATTTAGGTAAATGAATTTGGAAGTTGCTTCCCAAATTTATCCACAGTGCCAGCACCAGGACTTTGAGGTACAAGGGCTCAGCAACAGCAACCTGATCAAAAGGGAGAGCTAGGGGACTTACCTTGAACCTACATTTACAAATAAGCACACTGTTTCTGCTTAAGTTATGTTTTTCATTTAGAACAGATGGCTTAGCCAGATTGCTAAACAAAGCTAAGCCCGCTGTTCTGAGGATAAGCAGGGGATCCTGCAAAGGATCTAGAGAGTGGAAGTCAGGATGAAGCCGAGCGTGTGGACTTGGGAAGGTAGGCTGGAGTGAAGGCAAATGCAGATTCTGGAAGGTTAAGGGTTGAGGGGCCTCCATGGACAGAGAGAGCAGTGAGTCTGGAATCCAGGGTGGGGGAGTGGCTGGATTTATATATGGAGATGGAGTTTATACCAGGAGACAAGGTGACAGAGGGCCTAGGGATGTACCCAGAGCATCTGTAGGTCCGGGATCTGGGCTACGAACAGGCTGGGGACTCCAAGCAAGTTCCAGTCACACCCCAGGAGCTTTTTTTCCCCTCCTGTTAGTGTAGGAGCCAGCACTGACAGAGGTCATCTCGGGGTCTGCTGGAGGGACACGTGGGGGCTGAGGAAGGGCAGACAGACATGTGGGGACCTACATCTGACCAAAAGAGGGGCTTTTTTGGCTTTTTTTCTCACCAGACAAATGCATACAGTTTTCTGAGGCCTCCTTTACCTGGGACCAGGATTCTGAAGCCACAATTCGAGAGTGAGTTGCCTTTCTAATCCCGTGACTGGGAAACTCCATGTACTAGGACAATGGGGAGACAAGCTGTGTGCACAGATTAAGTTACATCCTAGTGCAGGCTCAGCCCCCAAGGGATGAGCTGACAGGGAAAACCCTGAGCCTCCTTGCCCATAACTGTATCAGCTGCCCTGTTCTCCTCCTGTGGGACTACATGCATTCGGCAGAGAACCCATGAAAACGTTTTTTTCTCCAGACTGGATGGACGTAGTGCAGGGTGGGCAGGTGGCCTAGGTCTCTGAATATGGTAGAGGATACACACAAGAACCTGAACTCAATTTAAGTTCGTTCATTCATTCATTCATTCATTCATTCATTCATTCATTCAAGGGTAGTAATCAAGGACAGTGGAGTTCTTTACCCAGAGTGGGCAATGAGAGCTTCCTCTGTAAGATTTAATTTCAGATCTGGAGTTTTACATCTAAACAACCTATTCCTACAGGCTACCTCCTCTGCCCTTAAGCCAACCCCTTCTTGCCACACTGTTGCTTGTAATGTGTTTCTTATGCAGTTCATGTAACAGCACACCCAGCTCATCCACTGAGCACAACACACAAAGTGCTCCAGGACCCTGAGCTGGTAGATCTCTCTTTCTTCACAACGGAGCACAGGAGCACACCTTATCATCTCCCCGCTACGCCCAAGATTTCCACCCTCCTCTGCTATCTTTATAGCCTTGAACATGGACTCTGGAGCTTGCCCCAGGATTTGTGAACTCTTCTGAACTTTCCCAACCTGAAAGCC